TACTTACAAGCATCTAAACATGCTAACTGGAGATCTGCCATGTAAGATGAATTTAATGCCTTGCAATCAACAGGTACTTGGACCTTAGTTCCTACATTTTCTTCCCAAAATGTTGTTGGTTGCAAGTGGGTCTTCAGAATAAAGAAAAAGCCAGATGGTACTGTTGAGAGATTTAAAGCTCGTTTGGTAGCAAAGGGTTATCACCAGTAAGAAGGCATTAATTTTCAAGAGACTTTTAATCCTGTTTCTAAACTAGTCACCATTATAGTACTTTTATCACTTGCAGTGCAGTTTAATTGGTTTTTAAACCAATTAGACATAAGTAATGCTTTTCTTCATGGGGATTTAAAAGAATATGTGTATATGTAGCAGCCTCCGGGTTTCACTGATCCCAGTATACCAAATCATGTCTGCAAATTAAGGAAATCTCTATATGGTCTTAAACAGGCACCACGAGCTTGGTTTGACAAACTTTTTCAAGCTTTTCTTCAATTTGGATTTGTGCAGTCTTCCTCAGATGCCCCATTGTTTGTTTTCAAAGGTCCATCTCTAGTCATGGTACTAGTCTATATTGATGACATCTTAGTCACAACTGGCCCTAATCCTTCTTTATGCACTCTGTTCATCCACAAGCTTAGTGTTATTTTTCCAGTCAAAGATTTGGGTCCATTGCACTACTTTTTGGGATTATAAGTTCAATGGTCTTCTACAGGCATCTTCCTTCATCAAACTAAGTACTTACTAGATCTTCTTAGATAAACCAATATGGATGGTGCCAAGCCTTGTTGTACTCCACTTGGCTCTCAGAAACTTGATCACACATGCCCTCTTCTATCCAATCCAACCAAGTATAGGTCCATTGTTGGTGGTTTACAATATTTAAAATGGACACGCCTAGATCTTTCCTTTGTAGTTAATCAAATTTGCCAGTTCATGCATGCTCCTCTAGAACAATATATGCAGGCTGCAAAAAAGGTTCTTCGATATATCAAAGGCGCTGTTTCTGAAGGACTTTGGTTTAAAAAGGGCGCTACCAAACTGACTGCCTTCTTTGATACTGACTGGGCCAGATGTACCTTTGATCTATGTTCCACCAATGGTTATTGTGTCTTTTTGGGATCCAATCTTATCAGTTGGAGTGCCAAGCAACAATCCACTGTTACACAATCATTCACTGAAGCTTAATATCATTCTCTAACACACACAGCTGCTGAACGTACTTGGATCTGCAAAACAAATCGTGACATTGGTTTCCCACTCTCTCAGGTTCCTACCCTATGGTGTGACAACATTTCGGCCATCTCTCTTGCTTCCAATTCGGTGTTTCATGCCAAAACCAAACATGTTGAAATCGACTATCATTACATCAGGGAGTTGATATTGGCTCATCTCATCAAAGTTCAATTTGTTTACAGTCAAGATCAATTGGTTGACATTCATACTAAATCTCTATCTAAAGGTCGATTTAGCTATCTCAAGTCCAAGCTTCCTCTTGGTTCAACAGTTGATCCCAAGCTCAGCTTGAGGGGGTGTATTAAGACAGATGCTAAATCATCCAAACCAGCCACTAGTTTGTTATAATAGTAAACAGTTAGTTGTGGTAATTTTAATTAGTTGTAGAAGTTAAAGGTACTAGTGTAATAAGCTTGTGGCTATATCTATCTTCTTGTACTATCATAATTATTCAATCAATGAAAATCAATCGTTACAAAGAATCTCAATTTCTATATTAATTTCTCTTTGAGATTAGGCTTTCAGGGGCTTAGTGTGTGTAAGTAAAAATTATGAACAAAATGAACATTGACAACAAAGTTCTATTGATAAAGCATTCAACAAGAAGTTTATAAACCTATGAAATAACAACACAAATAACAAAACAAACTAAATGTAAATATAAAGAAGATGAAACTAAAATCTTGCCAGCTCCATCTACGTACAGGTACCCCTCAAATGAACTCTCTCAGAATCCGATTGCAGTTTGAAAACTTCACTAGGATCAAACCCTAATCTCACTACATTAGAACTAGAATCTCGAAAATTGTAAAATATGAGTTTTTCGTGCCCTTTCAGAAGTGCAATATCACTGCTGCAAAATGCAACAGGGGGAGGACAATAGCCCTCCACTTCTTTAAGCCCTTCCATGCTCAATCTCCGTATCTTTCTCCATACTTTTTTTTCATGATCTTCCATAACCCACAGGTCCATGGAATCCCTATAGATTGAAATCAATCCAAGCCGGCCTTGGTACTCCACGAGTCGATTGTAACTTAAACCCTCACAATCCCTCACCGGCTGTGGTAAATCAAATCGTTCCCAACTCTCTTTATCATCTTCATAATGAAAAGCAAATATTTTGTTGTCCGCTAATCGCCAATAGAATCCACCACATACTGATATGTAGCGCCGGTTAAAGCCGTATAAACAAACAGAATAAGGTAAGCTTACATCCTTCAACTGCCTCCACGCCCAAGTGTTTCAATCAAACACCTCAAATCTCCACTTGAAGTACTGTGTTGACTTGGCCTTGGAGAAGGGATACTGGGCTCTTGAAATCTGAATAATCTTGTACCTTAGAGGCTTTGAACTTAACACAACTATGGCAGTCGTCGAAGTGAAATACCTGTTCTTTGGATTCGGTAACTTTTCCCATTGTCTAGTGGTAGGTTTGCAGACAAAAAGTTGGTAATTATTTTCGCTCATACAAAACACTAGACCTTGACGACTCACAGCTTCAATGCGCACTGGGACAGGCATGAAGTCCATAACTGAGTGTGTCAAATTTTTGTTTGCCTTATTATCAACAGACACGAACGTTTGTAAAGTTTTCCCATATTTGACCCGATTCTCGACTAGAAACCCCGAAACTGTGCTACTTCTCTCGCAAAGAAATTGCCAGAACCTTGAGTCATACGTGATGTGATTCCACTCCTTTGAAACCAGCCTACACCGGCCTAGACTTTCGAGCGATGTTCGTGTTAGAATCTGATCAAACCATATTTCTGAAGGAAGGGATGGTAGTGATGACGAGGCCATTAAATCGACTGAATGGGATTTGGATTCGGATTCGGGTTCGGGTTCGGGTTCTCTACTGATATTTTTGGCGTCCATCTTATCCATTGTGTGTGATGTGTTGTTAGTTAGCACAATGCAGTAGACAAGATCTTGGATCCCTGCAATTTATTGACTATTCGTTTGATAATGCTGGAGACTTGGGGCCAAGGCAATTGCTTGAAATACTCACAAGGGGAGAATGTATTTACCAGTTGAATTTAGGAGAGTAAGAAGAAGTTAATCGCATGTCCTCTTCCTATAAATTAAAATTAAATTGTAAAGAAAAAAAGTATTCCCATTCCTGATTTCCATAGGTTTACTAAAACTTGCACGTATCTGAGAAGGGATGCATGGCCAGAGGCCAAGGTCCATAAAAATTAGGTTCCAACACTACAACAAAAATGGCCTCTGTGCACAATAAATTATATGTGCCCTTTGAGGCAAAAAAACACCAACAATTGTGCTCATAGACCAATAGCAACAGTGCAGCAACTAAATTTGTATATGTGCCCTCTATGAGCGTCACCATTGCTAAAAGGGCACAATACACTATTTGGTGCTCAAAGAGGCAGGCACAAATAGTGGACTATTTGTGCCTGTTTTTGACAACTTTATCAGAAGACCTTTTCCAGCCATATTGACACTTATATTATAATTGTGCCAACAAGAATTAAATATAAAAAAAATCAAAATTTAAAAAACTGAAACTAAATTGAGAAAATGCAAAAATTTAAATTTTCATAAAATGAAAACAGCCTACAACCATGAAACGGTAAGTAAGCACAAACCATGTTAAGCATGTAAGCACATATCAAGAAAATTCCAAACTTTAGAAAGCTACAAAAAGATAGTGTAAGATCTTTAATTTGGGAACTCAACATAACAAAGTTAAATATAATTGAGGACATAAAGATATGCAGAGATGTACTTACACTGAGAGAGCAGAGCAGTTAGAGACCTGCACTTTACATATCAAATCTCCTCTTCTTAGAATTAACATGCATTGTACCCTCAAAAATGTTAAAACTACATATTCAAAAATAGAATAAAACAAATTTGGAATTTGGATTACAAAAATCATAAACGCTTAACCCATCTTCCTTTCAAAGTTCTACAAATTTATCATAGACCCTGCTTCCTATAACACCACAAACACGCCAAATAAGTACTTTACTTAAAAATTCAAAATTCAATTCTCATCATTATTTGTTTAACTCATTAAAAATAAAACTCAAATTAAGGAAACAAATGAATAGACCTGATATCAACACCCTTAGCAAGAGTAAGGTAATAGGAATTTCATAAATCACAACAATGAATTGTAGCTGGATTCTTAACAGTTGCTAAATACTAGCTTTCTTACAGTTTACATACAGTTTGCCAAAGCTGAAAGCTAGTTAGAAATTAACAGCATCATATCAAGCAATTTGACGAGAGCATACAAAAACTAGTTGGAAATAAAATTAACTATAAAGGCAAGATTAGGAGAAAATTTGGAAGAGACTTGAACAAATAAATCATTTGCCACTTCCAGTACCAGAGCAATTTGACAACAACATATCAAAGTACTACCAGTGCCAGTTCATTTGATAGAGATGGAAGAGGAAGCAAGAAGGGGCTGGGAGGGTAATGCAGGACTTATGGGTGTTGCAGAAGCTACAGAGACAGAGAAAAGGAAGGAGGAAGCAGATCAAGCCCGAAGTTCCGAACGAGATAAAGAAAGTATCATATATGTCTGGTAATCCCATTCGTTTATAGCAGACTTATTTACCATATTTACTTTGACACAATCAATCAAAATGAAGAGGTTCAGTTCACAGTTAATAAGTTATGCATCAAACTGCACACAGAAGGAAACAAAGAATAAAGCTGGATGTCATGCCACATTGCCCCTAAGAAAACAATGTTATATATTTGAAAGAAAATGGATGAACTGTAAAGTGACTATAACTTACAGAACAATATCCATATGCCGAGGAGCATAATATCCACCGCCTAATCCAAGAAGAACTTTATTCTTATCCTTCTCCCTAGAGCGCCAATAATATAGAAAATTTAGTTAGAGAAGCATCAAACTTTGGTTAAAATTGCAAACAAAGACATGAGCTTTTCATGAAAATCAATATACCCGTTCCAGTTTCCAACAGCAGCTCCCCCTCCAAGCCCAAGTCCTTCCCAAACTAACTGCAAGCACAGAAACTGCCACAAATTTATTCTCATAAGTTGTTTGTTCTGTTAAACTTTATAAGCTCAGGGAAAACCAGAAACATTACGAAGAGAGGAAAAGTTTTATAAAAAAAAACCAACAGTAAGACGTATCAATGACTTGCTCAAATGATTGAAATTGGTAGTTGTCTACTTAACTAGAGCCATAACTTGTGCTGCATCTTGCCTCTTCCAGTACTCATCTGTGCTGCCTATATCAACCAAGTAACATCAAAAAACAATAAACCCTCAAATGCATAGTCAAAAATACGAAAAACCATGTCACATATAGAAGCTTCAGACTGAATAACAGCTTTCCAAAGCCAAATATACCATTGGCTAATACATTAATTAGTACATATACAACTCAATATTTGTTAATTCATAAAAATAGCCAATCACCTTCTAGTCTAAACCTATTCGAAGTGGCAGCAGGTCACTTTCCATTCAAAGCAAAAATGGGTCTGTTTGAATCTGAACCAGATTAAATCCCCTTTTGATTATAACCCAAAAGAGAAAAAAGCTCAGTTCCCTTGTATTTCAAACGAACCCTAACCCTGATCCTAAAATTAATCACAAATTATTTACTTAACCAATACAACAACAACAACAACAAAGCATTTTCCCACTAAGTGGGGTCGGCTATATGAATCCTAGAACGCCATTGCGCTCGGTTTTGTGTCATGTCCTCCGTTAGATCCAAGTAATCAAGTCTTTTCCTAGGGTCTCTTCCAAAGTTTTCCTAGGTCTTCCTCTACCCCTTCGATCCTGAACTTCTGTCCCGTAGTCACATTTTCGAACCGGAGCGTCAGTGGGCCTTCTTTGCACATGTCCAAACCACCGAAACCGATTTTCTCTCATATTTCCTTCAATTTTGGCTACTCCTACTTTACCTTGGATATCCTCATTCCCAATCTTATCCTTTCTCGTGTGCCCATACATCCCACGAAGCATCCTCATCTCCGCTACACCCATTTTGTGTACGTGTTGATGCTTCACCGCCCAACATTATGTGCCATACAACATCGTTGGCCTTATTGCCGTCCTATAAAATTTTCCCTTGAGCTTCAGTGGCCTACGACGATCACACAACACGCCGGATACACTCTTACACTTCATCCATCCAACTTGTATTCTATGGTTGAGATCTCCATCTAATTCTCCGTTCTCTTGCAAGATAGATCCTAGGTAGCGAAAACGGTCACTTTTTGTGATCTTCGCTAGATTGCTCCGATCATTAGTGTGGATAAGTATATAAATGGATAGAGATAGGAAAGCAAACACAAGATGTACGTGATTCACCCAGATTGGCTACGTCCACGGAATAGAGGAGTTCTCATTAATTGTGAAGGGTTTACACAAGTACATAGGTTCAAGCTCTCCTTTAGGGAGTACAAGTGAATGATTTAGTACAAATGACATTAGGAAATATTGTGGGAGAATGATCTCGTAACCACGAAACTTCTAAGTCCCGGAGTGTGGTATCGGCTTGACTTTCCTTATCTGTCTCATAGGTAGATGTGGAATCTTCTCTGGAAGTACTCTTCCTCCATCCAGGGGTGGTATCTGTAACTGGTGGAGATGCACAAGGTAATGTATCAATGTCACTTGAAGCTTACTTGTAGTTTCAGGCTTGGTCAAGCGCGATACAAACCATGTAGTAGGAGTCCCCCAAGTCACCGAGCTAGGGGGTCTGCTGAAAGAGGTAACAGACAAGGTAAGCAATCAGAGCTCCGGCTGATTGTTCACATTCTCCCTATCTTGCAGGCAGCATGAAGGATAAAGAGAAGAAAAATGAGAAGAGATGATATGGGATACTTTTGCTTTTGAAGAAGTAACTTTCCACAGGCTTATTCTTGAACTGGGCTGGAGGGTTTTCTGGTTTCCTCCAAAGTATAAGGCCGACTGAAGAATTTGAGGGTCAAAACAAGTCCATCAAATCTAGAGTACGTTCGACCCTGCTGATATGGGATACTTTTGCTTTTGACAGAGTAGTGGATGTATCGGCACGTGTGCTGTTACGCTTGTCTCCACATGCTTCCTTGTATCCTTCTCACTTGCCCTATCTGTTCCTCAGGCAGATGCGGTATCTTCCTTGGAAGCATAAGATGTTGAAGATGAGTACTCGAGAGCAATGTCAGGGTAAGGGGTTCCAGGCAGTCAGTTCCTGGCTGGAAGCTTGATTCCAAGTGCTGACTGATTGCTCTCTTTCTCCTTGTCTTGCAGGTAAGAACAAGGCCAAAGGAAAAGACAGGGAAAAAGCATGATATGGGATACTCTTGCTTTTAACCCTGATGATATGAGATATTCTTGCTCTAGTATAGCTTGTTTACAGAGGTATTATCGGGGGGAAAGAGAGCTGAATATTTCGAAAGGCTTCGTTGGGAGTGCCCTCTCAGATAAGAGGAAGGGTTGAGCATTTTTGTAGGTCTGCCTGTCCGTTGGGGATGGAGGTCGACATATATAGGAGTCTCCCTAACATCAAGTAATAATGCTATTCCTTTACCCTGCTTGGTCATAGCACGGTAGTGGGAGCTGCCAGCTTCACAAGTTTTAACTCTGTCAGAGCACTTTGAAAAAGTGGTCTGTGGTATCTGGAAAGCTGATGTTGCGTGTGAAGATTACAAACAAGCTTTATCCAAGGAGATCCGGCTCTTGAAGTTGGGAAAGTGGTGCCTCTTCGGTTTTCGAACAAGCAATCCTGTCGGGGATCTGGCTCTCGAGATTCGGAGAACGATGCCTCTTCGATTTTTGAGAAAGCAATCATGCTGGGGGTCTGGCTCTCGAGATTCGGAGAGCGGTGTCTTCGATTTTTGAGAAAGTAATCATGTTGAGAGTTGGGAGTGTTTTCTCGAATATGAGTAAAGGTTGGGCATGTTTGCTAGTCTACCTTGCCACGAAGCACAGAGGTTGACACACAGGGACTTTCCAATTATCCAGCAGTGGTACTGTTCCTTTACCCTCGCTTCGATTTTTGAGAAAGTAATCATGTTAGGAGTCTGGCTCTCGAGATTCGGAGGGCGGTGCCTCTTCGATTTTGGAGCAAGCAATCTTGTTGGGGGTGTTTTCTCGAATGTGAGTAAAGGTTGGGCATGTTTGCTAGTCTACCTTGCCACGAAGCACAGAGGATGACACACAGGGACTTTCAAATTATCCAGCAGTGGTACTGTTCCTTTACCCTTGTGGGTAATAATATGGTAGCTAGGCCGTCAAAATTTATGTGTCTAGACTTTGTTAGTGTTGTTTCTTTGCTATTCTTTTACTCTTCTTGGTCAGAGCGATGTAGTGAGAGTTGCAAGCTTCACGTGTCTCGACTTTGTCAGAGAACTTTGGCAAAGTTATATGTGGTACCCATGAGCTACTGTTGCGTGTGGGAAGTGGGTGATTGAACAGTACGATTCATGTGCTTTCTACTTCGCCAGAAATCTTCGACAGAATGCCCATAATTTCCGCAAAGCTGAGTGTGCGTGTGACAGGTGCTGACAAGGCTGGAAAAGTAGTCTCAACTTTGTCAGAGGACTTTGGCAAAGTTATATGTGGTACCCATGAGCTACTGTTGCGTGTGGGAAGTGGGTGATTGAACAGTACGATTCATGTGCTTTCTACTTCGCCAGAAATCTTCGACAGAATGCCCATAATTTCCGCAAAGCTGAGTGTGCGTGTGACAGGTGCTGACAAGGCTGGAAAAGTAGGTGCCTCTTCGATTTCTGAGATCGACCTTCGTGGTCTTTGAGCAGCCCAGCTTTTGAGAAAGCAAACCTCTTCGATTTCTGAGATCGGCCCTCGTGGTCTCTGAGCAGCCCAGCTTTTGAGAAAGCAAACGCCTCTTCGATTTCTGAGATCGGCCCTCGTGGTCTCTGAGCAGCCCAGCTTTTGAGAAAGCAAACCTCTTCGATTTCTGAGATCGGCCTTTGTGGTCTTTGAGCAGCCCAGCTTTTGAGAAAGCAAACGCCTCTTCGATTTCTGAGATCGACCCTCGTGGTCTCTGAGCAGCCCAACTTTTGAGAAAAGCAAAACGCCTCTTCGATTTCTGAAGCTTCGTCGAGTGCAGATTTTTATAGAGGCTGACATTAAGTTCCAAAGCACACTTGAATATCCACCAGTAGAAGCTCCATTCTTGCACTTTCTAAGATCTTGATTTGTCCGACCTCTTCTCTTTTCTACACCTTTGAAAATGTCTGGCCCCTCCGACCGTCGTTTTGACTTGAACCTTGTTGAAGAGGCAGCCCCGCCTTCTCCAGACAACATATGGCGCCCATCCTTCGTCTCCCCTACTGGTCCTCTTACCGTTGGGGGATTCCGTGATGAAGAATGATATGACCGCTGCGGTAGTGGCCAGGAACCTTCTCACTCCCAAAGATAACAGACTACTTTCCAAACGGTCTGATGAGTTGGCTGTTAAGGATTCTCTGGCTCTTAGTGTTCAGTGTGCAGGTTCTGTGTCTAATATGGCCCAACGCCTATTTGCTCGAACCCGCCAAGTTGAATCATTGGCGGCTGAAGTGATGAGTCTCAAACAGGAGATTAGAGGGCTCAAGCATGAGAATAAACAGTTGCACCGGCTCGCACATGACTATGCTACAAACATGAAGAGGAAGCTTGACCAGATGAAGGAATCTGATGGTCAGGTTTTACTTGATCATCAGAGATTTGTGGGTTTGTTCCAAAGGCATTTATTGCCTTCGTCTTCTGGGGCTGTACCGCGTAATGAAGCTCCAAATGATCAACCTATGATGCCTCCTCCTTCTAGGGTTCTGTCCAGTACTGAGGCTCCGAATGATCCCCCTCCGGTGCCTTCTCTTTCTGGGGCTCTACCGACTGCCGAGACTTCTCCTAAGCAACCTTTGTGAAGGCTCCCTCTTGTTTGTTTATTTTGACTCAAGTATATGTACATATTTGTAATTTATCGGGGATATCAATAAATAAGCTTTCATTCATTTCAACGTATTGTGTTAAATCACCAAAGCCTTCTTCGCTAAGTTCTTTGAATTTTCTTTTGTTGAAGCTTGTATGTTGGAGCTTTGTGAGTGGAGCATGTAGGTTGAGGTAGTGTTCCCTTAATTTCCCGAGCGAGGACAACTTCTCGGTTGGAGACTTGGAAAATCCAAGTCACTGAGTGGGATCGGCTATATGAATCTTAGAACGCCATTGTGTTCTGTCATGTGTCATGTCCTCCGTTAGATCCAAGTACTCTAAGTCTTTTCTTAGGGTCTCTCTCAAAGTTTTCCTGGGTCTTTCCTCTACCCCTTCGGCCCTGAACCTCTGTCCCATAGTCGCATCTTCTAATCGGAGCGTCAGTAGGCCTTCTTTGC